CCTTGTGCGCCCTGATGCTACGCAGACACACATCCTCCTGGAACTCTCCTACCTGCTTTCTGAGGGACTCTACCACCAGACATCTCTCAACTGAGTGGTTCCACCCTGCCTGGCTTTCTTCAGCAGGCACATGGAGGCCACATTCCCCGAAAATCAAGACCAGGACCTGGGTAGCAGCTTCAAGGATCAGGATGCCTATCTGGCCAGGTGCAGGCAGAGGAAAGCTAGAAGTGGTGTTGGCAATGATTTATTTTCCTCCCATTAGGGGTTATTCCTGGTAGATTGCCCTCAAGTTAAGGGGAACCCCCCAAAAACCCTACCTCCATGCCTTGCTCCACTGGAGAACTCAGCTGGCTAACTGTCTTAGTCTCCCAGCTGTCTTCATCTCACACACAGCTGGAATGGGTGACTCACGCCTCTCTCACTTAGGTGCCCCTAATCAATGGCCTATTCAAAAAAAACGACACTGCTTTCATTTCAAAGAGCCCTGCTAGAAACCAGGCGTTAACCCACCTAGCTGCACAGCAATCTAGCCCAGACAATCAGTGGTATTCCATCTTGACCACAGAAGGTATCTTTGATTCATGGTAGGCATAATGCACTACAAGTAAAAGGTACTGCTTTTTGACCTATCCTAAGCCCCAACGGTGGGTATCAAATGCATTGCAGTAGTTGCAGCTCATTTGCACCATTCAGGCATCCAAGTATTTCCTTACTTGAATGACTGGCTGGTCTGGGGAAGAACAAGGTCTCATGTTCAAGATAGGATCCTAATCATCAGACATCAAATACTCACTGACAACACCATTGTTATGTTTTATCTGAACAGAGGTCTGGTCTACACTTAGATTCTACATCTCTCAGAGGTGTGAAAAATCCACACCCTTGAGAGATGTAGTTATACCAACCTAACCCACAGTTTAGATAGTGCTAGGTCAACAGAAGAATTCTCCTGTCAACCTAGCTACTGCCTCTTTGGGAGGTGGATTACTATGTCGATGGGAGAATCGCTCCTGTCTACACTGAAGTGCAGTGCAGTGGTGCTGCTGTCGCATTTTAAGTGTAGGCAAGCCCAGAGAAGGATGAATTAATTGTGCCAAGAAACAATCCGCCTGTGGAACCTTTACATAAAGAACAATATCTTATTAAAGACCTTTCACCTCCCAGGGGTGAGGAATACTATTGCAGATTCCCTCAGCAGGAACTTGGTAGACCATCACAAGTGGTCAATACACAAGGACATTCTGTATCAGATTATCCATCAGTGGTGTTATCTGGTAGTAGACCTCTTTGTGACCAACCTGAACAAGTGCAGTACATTCTGCTCCAGAGCAGTCACAGTCCACATTCTTTGACAGACTCCTTCCTTTTCTATTGGTCAGGTCTTCTAATGTACATATTTCCTCCTGTCTCTGTCACCCTGGGGGGGGGAACCGGAAGCTAAAAAGAGACAAAGTGACTTTAATCCTTAATCCTTAGAGCTGCAGACTGACCAAGACACTATTTGTGCACTGTCCTACATCAACTATCAGTTCAGCCTGCCATATTTCTACCTCTGGTCAAGGACTTTCTGTTTAAGGAATCAAGGCAACTTGCTGCACTCCAACCTATAGTCACTTCACCTCATTTGCATGAATGATCTTTGGTTGAGCAAGGAGGAGAGAGTTGGCTCCCAAAATGTCCAAGCCATTTTGGTGTGCAGCAGAATGAAAAAGGTTCTCAGCCTGGGCTGAGTACCACCAATTGTCACCAAGTAGAGTGAAAATTAGACATATTTTAGACTACCTGCTGCAGTTGAAATTGTGTGGTCTCTCCTTCAGCTCTGTAAGGGTATATTTAGCCTCTATCTCCACATTCACCAGTAGAAGGGCTTTCTGGTTTTTTGCATCCCTTGGAGTCTGGATTTTTAAAAGGCCTCATTCATATGTACCCTCCTGTTTTGATCCTGTATTCTCTTGGGACCTGAATTTTGATTTGTCCTGTTTAATGATATCCCCCTTCAAGCCCTTAGCACCAACTTTGTTATCTTTGTTACTAATAAAGACAGTGTTTCTAGGAGCAATTAGATCTGCAAGAAGGGTATCAGAGCTCCAGGCATTATTAGTTTATGCCTAATATAGTATCCACCTTTATTGGACCTTTCATCTTCAAGGATTTTTGCCAAAACTTCGGTCTAGCAAAGCTGAAGAAAGGCTTCATACTTTGGATGTACGGAGGACTCTACCCTTTTATGTGGACTGCACAAAGTCTTTTAGGTTGTCTCCTAGATTCTTTGTAACCTTCACTGAAAGGATTATGGGCATCCAGTTACAGATCAGTGCATATTTCTCTGGATTTCTGACTGTATCAAAATCTGTTATAATCCAGCAAAGGTTGCTCCTCCTCTGAGAATAACAGCCCATTCCACTAGGGCTCACTTCACTTCATCAGCCTTTCTGGGTAACATCCTGATAACGAACATCAGCAAGGCAGCAACGTGATTGTCAGTAAATACCTTTTCTAGACACTATGCTATCACTCAAGCTTCCTGGAATTATGTCAGTTTCGGCAAGTCAGTGTTGAAGTCTCTTTTCAAATTTCTGAAGTTACACCACCTATAAAGGAACTGCTGGTGAGTCACCTATAGTAGAAAATATACATACACAATCACTCAAAAGAGGGGAAAACGGTTACTTATCTGTACAGTAACTGTTGTTGTTCTTCGAGATGTTTTGTGCACATATGCATTCCACAGCCCTCCCATCATCCCTGCTACTTTGGGCATTAGTTAGATGGTGGGTGTGAAGGAATGTAGAGGAAGGCAGCAGCTACACTTCTTTTATGCTTTCGACTTTGAGCATCAAGGGAGCAGGGGCACATGCGCCCCCTAGTGTTACTGCTGGCAAAAGTCTCTGATGTGAGTGCATTGGGCGCACATACACCTCTGGTGCACAACACATCTCAAAGAACAATAGTTACTGTAAGGTAAGTAACAGTTTTTTAAAGGTGTTGCTGTGAAATTTTAGGCAAAAATTACTACATTTTTAACAAGGATAAACTTGACTTCTCTGGGGGCCTCTGCCAAAGTCTAATCACACAGAATTTGATTTTCTGTTCCCAGGTTTTAGCAACTGTATGTTTGGCAGTCATAGCACCCAGCTGAAATGTAATGTGCTTTCTGTAGTCAAGTGTTAAATTGCAGAGCCCTAGATGAAAATAAAAACAAACTTCTATGCAGAGTGTTATGGATACTACTGACAAATAGGAGAAGTGGCAGAAAAAGTTATTTTATTTAATCAAAATAACTACAAGCTACAGTATGAACACTATAGGTCTAGTTTCCTTATGGTGATCACATGTACTACTGAAGTTATGCCTGTGTATTGATAGGAGAGCAGGTCCCTTAAAAATTAACAAAAAGCCTTTGACAGATTATTTGAAGTGTCACAATAACAGTAGGCTTGAAAAAGTTCCAGTGCTTTTATAATAGAACTGTTAGAACAACTAAAAATGACAATATGCTGCTGCTCTATTGATTAATTTGAATCTACAGTTTTAACAAAAGAAACACCACCTCCATCAATTTCATTCTCTAATAAAATGTGAGAGTTAAACGGAGTGGCTCAGATTTTTAAGAAAACAATTGTGGATAGCTTCATGGTCCCTCACTAATTCTCTGTTTTTGTGATTTCTATAAAGAAAAGCCATTGTCTTAGGCTTCAGGCAGCAGCATTTGCATGAAGACAAACAGCAAAAATACCCTAAGGATATTTACTGTTGGGGGGGTAATGGGGTTAGGAGACTCCCCCAAAAGGGTCTACTGGCAAAGGGAGATGGGATATGGGTCATAGGCACCTCTGTTCCATCTCCCAAGATACTGAAAATCAGCTCTGTAGGGGAGGAAGTGTTGGTGAAATCCTCAGGCAAGGTAGTATGAACTGAAGTCCCAATGATCTACTCTTGTAGAGCGTTGCCCACCTGAGTGCTGTTGGTCATCCCATCTCTGCTTCTACTTCTGTTCCTCACAGGCACTTTGTACTGCTGTTGGGGAAGACAGAGGAAATAGTATTGTAGGTCAGCTCCTTTCTCTCTCTTCTCTTTCCTCAGATCCCCACCAATCATACCACAAAGCAAGAGATTTGACACCCATCCACTCCAAATGGAGTTAGACGGTCTGGGCTAGGAACTACACAGCTGTTTCCTCTCCCTTCCTCCCAGCTATCTTTTTGTGCGGTTGGAAAGGGAGCAGGGGTAAACAGGTGGGTGGGCAGCAGCCAGTGGCTTTGCAGAGCAGTGCAGTGCTCAGGAGATCAGTTTGAGTTCATGTTCGTTGGCCCACTAGTTTCTCCTATGGCCGGCAGTATTCTTCTTCCCCCACAGACAATTTTAAATCTTTTTTGGGTGGTGGGAGGAGATGGTAGTAGCAGGGGGAATACTTGCCCTTGGAAAGACTGCCTCACCTGGCCAATTCTTTTGGAGACAGGCACAGGTGTTCTTTTCTTCCCCATCTCTGTGCTGAAGATTTTCTGACTTTTGCTGCTGTTTGAAGGCAAGTATTGCGTCCATCTGCTTGTAATATCCTAAGTTGAAGGCTTTCCCCCCCCTAGAAACAGGAAACAGAAAAGAATGTTGTGATCCAAACAAATTCAATTTATCTGCAGTTAAAATAAAAATGATTAAAAAGCAAACAAACAATATCAGTTTCTTAACTTATATTGGCCTCTCACTTTTTTAAGAAGTAAGGATTGCTTAAAAAAAAGTTGGTTGGAAAATGCAAGTTTAAATAATGGAATTGTTAATATTTTCTCCTTGTTGTTCACAATCATTGTGATTCTCAGTTGCAAGTAAAACCTGTAAGTCAATGTAGTTGGGTTTATGCCACTAAGAGATTTACTCTTCGAGCTATGACACATATAACCATTGACTATAACTCCAGACTTGAGGGTGCAGTGAAAAATAAAGTAAAAATGATCCAATGAAATAAATATTTCAGTAATAACCTCTTTTCTCCATATGTCTAGGTACAAATAGAATAAGCTATGCACTTCAAGGAGCCCATGAGGGTGGTATTTTTGCACTTTGTATGCTGCGAGATGGTACACTGGTATCAGGAGGTGGAAAAGACAGAAAATTAATATCTTGGAATGGGAATTATCAAAAACTTCACAAGACTGAGGTGATATTACTGATCTTTAAATTTTACTTATTACTTTAAATGGAAAATTAAAAAGAACTTTCTTATGAACGGTGCTCCCTAAATCAGTACTCTTGTTTAGGACTCCTCATTCTGTGGCAGTCCCAGTCAAATCAATAAACAGAATATGATTCTTATCATTAAAATGATACATTAACTGATTTGTTAAAGAACCTTTTTTTAATTTAATACATCCATTAGTTGGTAGGAAAGCTCCTAATGAAATTTTGCTTATATTAATTCTGCCCTTCTTTGTCAAATTATTAATAGTGACAGGCATTTTTTAATTTCAGGTTATTACAGTGCTTGGCAATAGTAAATACTACACTACTTTCACACTTTTTTATTTTCCAAAACCATGATGGTGGTGATGATGGTTTTTATCACTTTCCTTGCTTGGTCTTAGTCCAGCAGTGAATTTTAACATTGTTTAACAAAAATTTCTTCAGCCATCATGTAGGAATTTGCAAATTCAAACTTTATATGGGAATAGTCCCAGTGAGTACATTTGTTACATCTGAAAAAGCAAACAAAGTTATGTGATCCTTTAGACATTGTGTAGAAAGCATGATCAAAGGAAAACTGTATATTCTGGTGGGTGAACTGTACAGTAACGCCTCACTTAACATTGTAGTTATGTTCCTGAAAAATGAGATTTTAAGCGAAATGATGTTAAGCAAATCCAATTTCCCCATAAGAATTAATATAAATGGGGGGGTTAGGTTCCAGGGAAATTTTTTTCACCAGACAAAAGACTATATTAATATATATATATATATATATATATATATATATACACACACACACACACACACACAGTATAAGTTTTAAACAAACAATTTAATACTGGTACACAGCTTAATACTGGTACACAGCGATGACGATTGTGAATTTTGGTTGAGGTGGTGAAGTTGAGGTGGGATATTTCGCAGGGGATGCCTTACTGCTAAATGATGAACTAGCAATTGGCTGAGCCCTCAAGCCCTCATTGTTGTTAATGTAGCCTCACACTCTACAAGGCAGCATGAATGGAGAGAGGGGAGACAGCATGGCAGACAGAGACACACACTGTGTGTGTGAGAGAGAGATGCACATTGCCCCTTTAAGTTCGCTGACCCCACTCTTACGTACACTGCCTTTTTAAGTTAATCAGCAAGCTGGGACGGCAGCTGCTGCCAGGAAGCTCCCTCCATCCTGAGCCCTGTCGTGTGTCCCCCCTACTCTATGGAAGGTGGGGTAAGCGAGGTGCAGGAGCAGGGGGGAGGGGGCCACCCTGATATTAGCCCTCCCACCCAGCTCAGGAATCAGGAGGCTCTGGAGAGCAGCTCCAAGGCAGAGGGCAGGAGCAGCACATGGCAGTGGGGGGAGGGACAGCTGAACTGCTGGCAATTGATAGCCTGCTGGGCAGCTGCCGCACAGGGAACTTAGGGGAACGGGGAGCTGATGGGGGGCTGCCAGTCCAAGCTTTGTTCCAAGTCCCCACCAGCTGGGTGCAATGGGCTGCTCTTTTTGCAAGCAGTGGACAAAGCAGGCGGCTGCCAAATGACGTTATAAGGGAGCATTGCACAACTTTAAACAAGCATGTTCCCTAATTGATCAGCAACGTAACAACGAAACAACGTTAACCGGGACGACTTTAAGTGAGGAGTTACTGTACTAGATACTGTAGAGGCATTGCACATGCATTGGCAACTTGGGTAGTGTGTCAGTTTTCTACATCAAGTAAGAAACACCAGCTGTTGGGCTTTCCCTGACTTTGACCACTGAAAATGGTCAGACTTCCTGCTCAGTTATTCTCAGTCAGTCCCCCCCATAATGTTTTTTTTATAATGGCTTATTATTAAATCACTTATTCTATTCACATTTTCCACACTGTTGAGTTCTACGCACCCGATTGCACTGGCGTCTTCTAGGAAGCTGAAAGTTGGGTGCAATTAAAGGAGTGCACACTTACAGAAGCAATAGATGCTATACAGAACTTATGCAGAACCTGTCAGTACCTCCAAGAACAGCTTAGTGATTTTTAATTTCTTTAAAAAAGAAAAGGATTTTGTATACAAAAAGACTTGATCCAATATTAATGTTTCATAGTTTATAAAATGTGGCTGAATTAACTGCTATAAGAAACATAACGTTTTCATTTGCTGACTTACTTGGTTTTAGTTGTGCAGATTTTTTGTCCCATTAGTGTAGATGCCTTTTTGTGTAGTGTTATATAAATTACCATAGCTCTGTTGAAGTCAGTGGAGCTATGACAATTTGCACCAGCTGAGGATCTGCCCTATGGTGTCCTATATTATTTTATATTAAATTGTATAGCCCTGTATTTGACAACACTCAGAGCTGTGTGACTGCTTTAAAAAAATCTATTTGTAAGGCTGTATATCTTGAAATAAATACTTAAAAAAAAACAAATTAACACTTGAGAAACCATTTTGTACCATCTGAGTCCACTTATCCATTTACCAGTCCATTTATCTATTATGATCACAGATTCCAGAGCAGTTTGGTCCGATAAGAACAGTAGCAGAAGGGAAAGGTGATGTTGTATTGATAGGCACTACTAGGAACTTTGTTCTGCAAGGCACTCTATCAGGAGACTTTTTTCCAATTACCCAGGTGAGCTGTTTCCTTGCAAACTAATAAAAAGCATTAATGTTTTAAAATATGTAAGTGCAATAATAGAACTTGTCTAATGTTAGGAAAATACAGAACTATTTAATTAATTTACTAGCACAGTGACTTCAGCAATAAAGAATCTGATAAAATTAGTACATATCCAAACTGAGCAGAATTTCTGAAGGCTTATTTATACAGTAAGCTAATTTTAATCATGTTAATTGGGAAAGAATTAAACTTCATTAAAGGTTCATTAACTTGGATGTTATTGTCCATCATCTGAAGAAAGTTTGTTTGTATTTGTATAGGGTCACACTGATGAGCTATGGGGACTAGCCATCCATCCCTCTAAACCTCAGTTTTTCACTTGTGGACATGACAAACACATTACCCTCTGGGATGCTACCAGTCATCGTCCTGTCTGGAACAAAATTATAGAGGTATATACTATTAAGCTCACACTCTTCTCTTTCATGGAATAAAGGTTTTCAAATAAGTTAATTTTTTTTAAAATGTTTTTGTTAGATTATAATGGGAGGGGAAGAATCAGTGAGATAGTATATAATTTAACTTTTTGAAAATGTTTGTATAATTCTAAAACCTGTAGCAGTGTTAAGCCAAATATTCTAAACCACTGACCCTTTCTCTAACCCAAAGCTAACTTGGCTGCTGTATAATACAAAAAGTATACTGTGCTTTAGGCACTTATTTTATTCAGAAGAAAGTCACAAAACTGAAACTGGCAGACATTTGGCCTTTTATCATTTTTGAGAAGTGGCAGATGTACACAGCCTAAATAATTACTTGTCTATATGGAGCAGCAATGCACACTATGGGGGTGTGATTTCTAAAGCTCACTGACGTGTTGCACATTACTTGGTCTGTGTAGACCCTGCTACGTAATGCTAAGTGCACTAAAGAATGTTTAGTACACAGCAGCAGGACCTACACAGATCAGTTAATGCCACAACATGTTAGTGCACTTTAGAAATCACACCCCTATAGCACACATTACCCCATTGTGTAGACAAGCCCTAAGTCTTCAGGCTCATTTCTACCCTCCTCCCCTCTCTGGTATGCAACTTTTGTTATATGGATATTGAGGGAGTATATTAATGCAAGGTCTAAATTTCTTACTTGTACATATAAGTTAGGTCACCTAATTCTGAATTTGGGAACTCATATTAGTTATGTTATAATGTATCTGTTTTTGAGCACTTAAAAGAAGAAATAGGTACTGATTTAGTCCTTTTTTAATGCCTGGTATAGCTTGTTTCCTTTTCAACTATCTAGATAGATAAGATATCACTAAAGGGAGGTTAGTGCTGTTTATAGGACACAAGCTAAAGATTCTGCTCCTCAGCTATGGAAACCCACCAGTAGTCTGTATTTATAATCCTCTTTTTACAGTAAACAGTGAGTAGATTCTTCATATGAGCCATATAATGTCATGTGGTGACTTAAGCTACTTCTCAATTTTCCCTGCTTGCCCTCTTTCACAGGTCAGGGCAATTACACTTGCATTCCCCCTCCATGATCCACCTAGGGCACCCACTTAAAGATTACTGGATCCCAGCTATCACCTCTCTTGGGCAGAGACCCATGTCTCTCTGCATTCTGACCGGGGTGGTAAGGCTGCACAGCTTTCTGATTTACACTGTGATATTCCCAGCAAGCCAGACGGCCTAAAAGGCCAGCATCTGCTCTTTGCTTTCTCTCCGAAGACTATGAACAAAGCAATTGCCAGCAGTTATAAATTACCACACAGTCCTTTATAAATGAGCACATTTATTCTTAAGGTGAAAGCGTTACAGAAAAAAACATGTTAAAAACAATAAAAGAACCTACACACATGCTATAAAGCTTACCAGAGATTACCCCAACTCCAGCCTTGGGCTCTGGGAGGTGTCAGTCCCTCAAAACCTACAACTGGGTTTTCCCTGTGATTACAAGTTCATAACTGTCTTAGATTCAGAACCATAACGAAGGCAGGTAAAGAAGCTGTTTCTTTATACAGCTTGGAGCCTTTGATCTTGGTCTTTGGTGACCGGTAAACAGCAGACAAAGACCCTCCCCTCAGAGTGTAGCTTCAATGTGCTAGGTGTTTGCATAAATGGAGTTGGGTAATTTGCATTAACCTCTCCCTAGCGTATCCCAGGAAATCCACTTAACAGTTATTGTCCCAAAAGTCCATTTTGGCTGCAAAATTTTCAGTATGTCCTTTGAACTCCCAGCCCTCACATCACATCTTCCCCCAAAGGTTATATACAATCCCGTTCCAGGACCACACGAATACGTAACCTTAAGACACTAAGGTTTTTTAGTGACATGGCAGGAAATGGCCATATCTGTAACACCTTCCATAAAGGGGAAAAGTTCAACAGTAACATATAAAGTAAATTAAAAAAATCTGGCATGGATTCTCCATCAGCCACCCAAGCTCTCAAGTGAAAACTACCCCATTAACAAAGAGCTGGTCTACACTACACAGGTCAATATAAGGCAGCTTATGTTGACTTAATTACGTCAGTGTCTACACTACAGCCTTCCTCACACCGATGTAAGGCCTGGTCTACACTGGGGGGGAGATTGATCTAAGTTACACAACTTCAGTTATTCACGTAGCTGAAGTCGACATATTTACATCTACTTACCATGGTGTCTTCACTGCGGTTAGTCTAGCGCTGGTGCTCTCCCGTCGACTCTGCCTGCGCCTCTTGCCCTGGTGGAGTACCGGAGTTGACAGGAGAGCGCTCGGCGGATGCGATAAATCGACCCCCGCTGGATTGATTGTGGCCCCTCGATCCAGCAGGTAATGTAGACAAGCCCTAAGAGCCCTACTTCACCGACATAATAACTCCACCTCCATGAGAGACATAAGGCTTATGTTGTGTAGTTAGGGCAATGTAGTATCCCTTACATCATCAGGATGTAAAATTGACAAGAAAGCCAGGCAGCTAGAGCCCAGCTGCCCCCAGCTCTCCTGGCTATCTGGGTGGCTGGACCCCCACTCCCAGCTGGGAACTGTGGCAAGAAGCCCCAGTGGCTTCAGAGATCGCTCCCGGGGGCAAGAAGCCCCAGGCTGCTTCCCCCGGCTCCCAAAGAGGTACGGGGAGGGGAGAAGCCCTGGGTGGCTTCCCTTGCTCCTGACGGAAAATGGGGAGCAGAGGGGAGGGTCAGCCCACCAGGAGCCTGCAAGCCTGTGGGGCAGCTGGGTTCCTGGCAGGGAGCTGCCAGTGGAGCTGAGAGACTGGGCTTTCAGCTCCCTACACTGGCCTTCTTAGATCGGTGGAAGCGCTCCTGGTGAGGGCGCGCACCACTGACTCTAAGAGGGTAGTGTGGACATGCACAACTGCAGTAATTACTGCGGTGGCTGTAAGCTGACTTAATAACAGCTTGACTTACATTTCTGGTATAGACATACCCAAAAGCCCTTGAACATCTGTAACAAGTGTTAAAAGTGGTACTTTGAATACAGATTCTGAGCTTCCCTGGACCTGCAGCCTACATGTATTGGCTCTAGTCATCCTGTCCATGTACTTACTTTAGATTCAGAGCCTTTGCTTCCTTAATTATGATGAATTAGTGATTTCTGTCTGTTGCTTCTGTACTGCGTCAGCCATTCTTCAATTACACTGCACTAGATCTGTTCAAGTTTGCTAATGTGCTTTCTAGCTCCTAGTTCTTTTTAAGGCTCAGGACTGTTGTAATACATGGTCAACATCTAGTAATCCAGCAATACATTTTAGTAATTTCTAACTCTTTGGGAGACTTTAAGAGATATAGATCCTTCAGACCACCACTTCAAGCTATAACTATCACTTACTTGGCAAAAATAACTGGTCAGTATGTACCTTTGATGATTATCTGTACTGAGAAATTGATCTGTCAAAAAACTGTAACACATCAACTGGCTGGAATGAAAGACCATATGTCTGGCTCCGGTGGTTCTGGAATTGAGCCCAAAAGGGAAACACGTATTTGTATGTTGCCAGTTGTGCTGTAGTTCCATAATGTTCCTAGACTAGTACTAAGTGGTATCTACTGTAGACCCTTGTTACCAGTGTGATCTGATAGGGCCCTACACATCTATCCCACCCTCCAAACAGCTGACAGCTTGAGTTTTAGAGTGGACTGTCTACAGATTCCCTGGGGTGGGGAGGGGGAAGGCAGCTGGTCTCCTTCCTCACTTTTCTCACTTTATCTGTTCCTATCCCATCCTCCTGTAATATGGAGTCACAGACTAGAAAGCAAGTGCTGAAGATCTTTTCTTATTGGCTGCTTTCCCCTTTTCATTTGTTTAACTCCTGGTATACTGGTCAGCAATCTCGATGGATTCATGTGACTAGGGAGAAAACTGAATGAGGATCTGAATAATGTACTTCACATAAGACCCTACATAACCTAGGACTGGCTCTACTACCAATGCCATCTCCATGATGTGTTACTTTTTAGTCACTTAACAATTCTACAAATAGTTGGTCTAAAGACTCTGAGATAAATTCAGACCTGTTGTTAACAGGTTTAACTCTACTGAAGCCAAAGCAGTTACACACATGTACACCAGATCTGAATTTGGCCCTCTGACTCAACTAAATCACTTTCCTACAAATGGAGCATTTATAAATTTCTTAGAGTAAATATCCCTTCAGACATACAGGAGTGCAGGAACATGTGTGGAAGCATGAACACTGACTTCCTGGCTCTTTGTGGGAAAGGATCTGCTCCCTTTTCCTTTGCAATGGAATCTATTTTTTCCTCGACTGATGAGGAAAAACTAACAGAAGAGGCATTGCTGCTTGATAAGTTCCTATTTCATAAGCAATAATTTTTCATTAGTTCAGAAAAATGGCTTTTGTCTCTAGGTGGCTGTTGCAGAATGGCTTTGTTTTTCTGATTTTTTTTTTTTTTTTTACAGTAGTATACCTTGTAAGAGATGCTACAGATGCATCCTTCTCACACTCATAAATTGTGTGGTTTTAGTTTGGTCTTCAAAAAGTCAATTTTATTACTACATGCAACTTCTCAGAGACATTGCCTGGAGACATGAAGACTTGGTTGAACAGGTGTTTTCACTTGTTGTTTCAAGGTAGCAGTTCAGTACCCAGATAGTCCCTTCATAAAGTATATGTACATTGCTGACCATGTCTGCAGTGAGGTTCTGGCCTATCCAATACTGTGATGCCAGTTTCCGGGCATGTCTTTCCCTTTGTCTAGGGTACCAGGTGCTTCACCGTGACATATTTATTTTCTTTCAAATGTTTTCTATACAACATATTAAATAATATTACTTGAATTTTGCAGATTTTCATAATGTATTGGAACTCTTCATTATACAATTGTGCATGATAACATTTGTGTATCTTTCTAGACTACATAACACAGTTTAAGCTAATGAGAGTATTGACAAACATCATTTTGCATATGTTGGATCTGGTCTGATGACATGAAGAGTGTTTATTACAGCTGTGGTATGCCTCAGTTTAAAGAACATTTAACACTGAAATCTCAGCCACAGCACATCACACAGGATCCCATTCAAGTAACATACACTTGCTGAGTCACATTCACTTGGTGGAAGTTAGAATTTAGTCTGACCAAGATCATAAGTTTTCAGATTATTAAACCTAAATTTATGTTGGCAGGGGAAGCTTCAGCCTTGATTGGAGAGACCATATCAGCTGTTTTTACACTTGTGAGAACTAGGACACTGCAGAAAGTTTACAGTTCAGTGCCTGGGAGATAAAGACAAATTGGCCTGTACTAGATAAGCTTAGAAACAAGCCATTTAAAAAGGAGAGTGGCAGTCCAGATTTTAAAAATCAAAAGCTAATCATTGTGAGAGATAGGATGGAGACCTTCTAGGTATGACAGTGGCATTACATGTTCCCTACCTTTCTGATTATTGTATTGTTTAATGTACTTGTCATGGAAAGAGAATTTCCAAAGATTTAAAATAAGCTTCTCTGGAGGTGGCCCTTGGAGTGGCCAAATCAAAATGACAGATACAGTACAGTTATTCTTGAGAGAGACAAAATTCTTATTGCTCACATGAAATTGTGTTGGGTTGTAACCTAGAGGCAAAAAATTAATCAATATACTTTAGGTAAAAACTTACTTACTGTGATAACGTATTTTTAAAAAGTCACGACCAATTACAAATCAAACTACCAAAACAGAGGATTCTGGAAAACCTGTTCTAAGGAAATATATGCTACAACTGGCACCTAAGCCTTTGATTTTGCATTTTGAAGAAGAATAAACTTCGGAAACAAGCTTCCTGTTGTAGTGGAGTGTGCAGGAATGTGAAGAAATAGATTTTAGTAGTCCCTTAAGAGAAGTTAAAGTTGATTTGTACTATGACCTGGGCTATTAAGATATTAACATATACCCCTCTCTGGTCTTATCAGACTTCAAACCAGACTTAAATTGATATAGAAATGGCACATAGTAATAATTTAAAAACTCTTTACATTGTGGTATAACACTAGTAAGACTTGTATACGTATAATGAAGTGGAGAGTGGATCCATGAGGTCTCTCTACATATGTATTTTTAATGTATGTCAGCATTGTATCAGTAAGTCACTGCATGTATTCAGTTGAATATATTGATGTGTGCCTCATACCTCACTCTGTGTGCCTCATACCTCACTCTGTGTGCCTCATACCTCACTCTGTTGAGTATAAAAATATACTTGTATTTTTTATATATATATCAGTAAAAGGTTGGTGATTACTGTTAGTATATTTGAGCTGCTTGTTCTTGTTTTGAGAAAAAGATCAAATGAGAATATTAAATAGGTCTAACATGGTGAAACGACTTAAAATTTTACTGAATATCCTTTTTTAGAGCCCATTTTGAAAAAGGGGGCATTTAGAAGTCATTGTATTGATGGCGAAGGACAATAGAATATTATAACGTACCACCATAATAATCTATTGAGTAGTCTGTTAGCAAGATGAAGTTCTTCCTCAGAGCTCTCTGAAGCGCAGCAAGTTCCACTAGCTATCAAACCAGCTCCTTAACCTTCTAACCTTGTTCTGAAAAGAGACGAGTGAGGATCAATCCATGATACAGCTTAGTTTATTTTTTGCTCTCATCTCAAAAGTAGGATTAAGGGTTTGGCTAATTTATGAGTAAATGCTAGAATTAATTTAATAGTCAGACAGGCCTTTGAGGGTATAAAGCACTAAATAAATAAGTATTATTTTTCTTATTACTGGAGAGATGAAAATCCATGCTAGTCATTTTGATTTTTGAGAGAGAGGTACATTTTAACTATAACAGCAACTTAGTCTATTGAAATCAAGAACTCATAAAAATAAATCCATCTAGCCAAATTTTTATAAAGATAAGGCAGTCATCCCAATACCCTTTGCTTGATTAAAGCAGAATTTCAGCTTCTTACCTGGAGTGGATAAATCTTTCATTTGATACTATTGCCTGTTTGTGTTAGAAAGAACTATATAACAATGACTGTCTTAATACTCTTGTTACTATGGTTCACCAGCAGTGTGTTGTTGAAATTAAAATCTTTATTTAAACTCATGTTTTTTGTAAGGGAGAATTTAATACCACAGAATTTGCTCATTTGTTTGGGTCATAGGAACCTTGAAAAATTGAGCACACTTGGGCTACTATAATGATTTGACTACATAAATATAGAAACAACAGATATTAGCTACCAATATCCATATGATTTTGTTTGTAAGTTGCAAAAACATAGGTCTCTCTGCCTCTTAAAAGTAAAGAGAATCTCTTTAGAACCAGCCACGACAGGCAAGGCAATTACAAACTGATAAACCTGTTAGCAGGTCTGCCATACTCACTCCAGTATGAGCAATGACTAGAATATAAAAATATGAATAAATTATGTGGGTTTTTTGAGGTACTATTATTTTATTCCCTGTTTAGCTCTTTCATATACATGTTAATTTTGACATGACATGACAAAAATCTGCCAAAACATTTAACCACTATATGCTTCAGTTTTCTTCTCTAATCTGTAGAATTCTACAGCTCATTCTTTGTAGATTGTGACATAAAGATAGTAAGCCACTACTTACTTTTCATATTTTTCAGATATTATAATGGCAGGTGAAACATTGTGGTTCTCCAGATACATAATAACAACATAGTATCAAATATGCTTAAACATTTATGCAAATGAAAACGTTGTAATATCAGACATCAAAGTGAAAGACCCAGGTTCATTATTTAACTCAAACTTCCACTGACTTGTAACTGGCAGGGTATTGCAAAGATACCTTCGGCGTTGTTAGAGGTAAAGTCAGGACTTGCCACTGCAGCACTCCATGCCATGTGATATATGCAGCAGTAAAATAAACAGCTTGCTCAACCCTCAGGTAGTAAACAACTACCATCTACTGATTAGACATTTATATAACTAAATTAGAACTGGGTGAATAATTTATTAAGTTAATTTTACCTCTTTCCCCTTTGGGGATTTGTCGAGAAGCAACTTTTTCTCAATTTTTTTTTATCTGAAATTATTTGCCAAATAGATCTTAGGTTAGACTGTGCACAAAGGAAAACAGTGTGGCACTGAATACAGGAAACACTGCATTAGGTAATTTTTAGTGGATTTCCAAATGTACTAGTTTTTTCCTCAAATATAAAAAGAGGAGTTTACTCTACACAAAGACTGCGGGGGCTTAGTTTGTTACTGAGTAAGCAATTTTAATTGTGTTTTTACTATTACTGTCTCTTGCTATAAATGTATACTTCCTTTGAAATCTTATAGGATCCAGCACAGTCTTCTGGTTTTCATCCTTCAGGGTCTGTTGTTGCAATAGGAACACTAACTGGAAGGTAAGAAGAACAAAAGCGCGGGTATCCATCAACAGTGGGTATCTGTCCATCTCACCAAATCAAAGTTGATATTCTTGTTTCTCCAACGAATAGTACCAAATTCTGCCCTCTGATGCCTATGCTCACCTCCTGTTGAATTCAACAGGAGCTGAAGGTATTGTTGGTGGTGTTTATTATTATTGTATTGCTATAGTGCCTAACAACCTTAGTCCAGCACCCCATTGTGTTTGACACTATACACATACAGATAAAGAAAGCCTATCTCTGCCCCAAAGAGCTTACAGTCTAAGCGTAAGACATGAGGCAGCTGATGGATGCAGTCAGACGGATGGGGGAGAACAAGGAAACAATGAGGCAGCACTGGTAGGCATGAAAAGCGGTGGTGGCAGTGCACCAGCCGCCTAACCATTCTCAGGAGTTGTTGTTGTTGTTTTTTGTTGTTAGCATAACAGCTAATGAGAGTTTGCAGGAGGGTTCTGAAGGATGATAATGAGGTAGCTCTGTGGATCTATATGGGGAGCTCTTCCCCTCAGATGTGAGGGACAGCACAGGAGAAGACAAAAGGTATTTGCTTGAAAATTTAACATGCTGTTTTATTATTTTTACCATAGTAATGTCCAGAGCCCCCAACCAAATTTTGGTGAAGGCCGCATTGTGCTAGGCACTGGACAAGCACATAGTAAAGAGACAGTGTCTGCCAGGAGAGCTTAAAACTTAAATAGACGAGACAGGTGAGGGAGAAAAGAAGTATTACCCCCATTGTATATAGGGAACTGTGACGCAAAATCGCATAGGGAATCAGTGGCGGAGCCTTGATATGAACCCAGAACTCTGAAGTGCCTTAAGTACAAAACCCTCCTTTCCTTCAAGGGTACCTGAGGGCAGAATTTTGCTCCTAATATTTAAAATATTTGCACTTCATTCTAAAATACTTTTTATTTGATGACACGTGGTTTTAGTAAGTATTGAAGCAAAATTTATTTGGTTCTATGTTTCCCTTAATACAGGGGTGGGCAAACTTTTTGGGCTGAGGGCCACATCTGGGTGGGGAAATTGTATGCAGGGCCGGGGCAGCGGGTTGGGGTGCGGGAGGCAGTGCAGGGTGTGGGAGGGGGTGCAGTGTGCAGGAACGGGCTCAGGGCAAGGGATTGGGGCAGAGGAGAGGTGCGGGGTATATGAGGGGGCTCAGGGAAGGGAGTTGGGGTGCAGGAGGGGTGCGGACTTCGGGAGGGAGCTTAAGGCAGGGAGTTGGGGTGCAGCAGGGGTGCAGGGTGCAGCAGGGGCCTTAGGGCAGGGAGTTGGGGGGTGGGGTGCAGGAGGGGTTCAGGCTCCAGCCCGGCGCTGCTTACCTAAAGTGGCTCCAGGGTGGCAGGCTGCATGCCTGCCCTGGCCCCATGAGGCGCCGCTCTGGGAAGTGGCCAGAACCAAGTCCCTGCACAGCCCCTGGGGTGGGGGGGAGGCACAGGGCTCCACGTGCTGCCCTTGCCATGCCTCCAGGTACCTTCCCTGAAGCTCCCATTGGCCGCGGTTCCCCTTTCCCAGCCAATGGGAGCTGCAGGGGGCGGTGCCTGGAGGCGAGGGCAATGCACAGAGCCCTCTTTTCCTCCCCAGCCCCGCCACAGGGACGTGGTGCTGGCCACTTCTGAGAGCAGCACGGGGCCTGCGGCACCACAGGGGGCAATCCCGCAGGCCAGTTCCAAAGACCTGGCGGGCCGGATTCGGCCCGCGGGCCGTAGTTTGCCCACCCCTGCCTTAATATCTAAATAAAAGTGAGATGTTTTGGGAGCAGTCTTTATTTTTGATACTTAATAAACTGAAATCAGCATTGAAATGCAGATTTTCAAAGTGAAATAGTTGTAAGTATTTGTAGAAACATGTCCAGAGAACAATGTATAACAAAGCCCCAATCCACCTCATAGGAGATTTATTATGATCTAATTTTTATTTATTTAATATATAGTGGTCCTGATTCTCAGTAACACTAAGCCACCTTTACACTTTTCTGGCCTTTAAAGTAGATATAAATGTAATTAAATTACATTTAATTAAATTAAATGTCCAAATACTGTACAAGGGCCTTAAAGAATGTGGTCCAAGATACACAAGATACACGAAAGTATACATCAATCATACTTGCATATAACCAGTGACAATTTGTAAAATGATAATAAAATCTGAATGTAGACATCTGCCTCAATAGTTGATTGATATTCTGTTTATCTACTGTTGAAAATGTTACTTTCAGTTGGCTACAAATAACGCAGAAAATGTCCCCTTCCTATTCTTTTCCTTTTAGTGCAAAACATATGGAAGACTGTTATTTTGACATAATGAACAGTTGATTAAAACTACTGTAGATTTGCATTCCTTACTGAGCAATTTATTGGCCTTTTTCTGTGTTTACAACAGGTGGTTTGTGTTTGACACAGAAACAAAAGATTTGGTCACTGTACACACAGATGGAAATGAACAGCTGTCTGTAATGCGTTATTCACCAGGTTTGACACACTCTACTTACTTGTTAAAAAAAGAAGTGATTGTATGCAATATAGGGTTCATTTTTAAAATTCCTCACATATGTTTAAATTGGGTATAAATACATGAGTTGAAATCCAGCCTCCTGAGTCAATGGAGCCAGGATTTTACCCAGAGGCTTTAACTCTAATTTCCTGTTGTTTGCCCCTTCAGATCTTGATGTTTAGCAGAAATCAGCTCTCTCACTTAGATGTGCATGTAGTACCATGTTCAGGTTGGCTTTTTTCTCAGTTTCCTTATGAGATTTAACTTCAATATTTGCTATATAAAGCTGCTGTTTTATTTGCAGTGAATCGTATTCCATCAAACAAGGAGAAGAAGAAAATTGCTTTTTTAAATTTATTAATAAAAGTTTTATGAACAATGCCCATTGTCCATGACACACTAGAACTTCATAGATTAGTTTAATTCTTTATTGTGGGTATAATTATAATTCACTTTTTTATAGATGGAAACTTCTTGGCGATAGGTTCCCATGACAACTGTATCTATATATATGGTGTTAATGAAAATGGGAGAAAATATAGTAGAATTGGCAAATGCTCAGTAAGTGACCTCCTTACTATTTATTCACGAATAACAAATAAGCATGTATACTTTATAGTACATATTAATATACTGGGATATGCTATGTTACTGGAATTAATACAATACACTTCTCTTCATAGGGTCATTCCAGCTTCATTACTCACTTGGACTGGTCTGTTAATTCACAGTACCTTGTGTCCAATTCAGGGGACTATGAAATCTTATACTGTGAGTAACAATGGTTTTCTGTGCTTTGTGCAGAGTTGATTGTAGGATAGCTAATGAATTTTTAATTGATCATATAATCACTAGGCTGGAACATATATTTTAATTAGTTGCTACTTTTTAGCTTAAATCAACTCCCATGCAGCTTAAAAACTGAAAATGTCATCATTTGTTTCTCTTTCTGTAGGGATCCCCTCTACTTGTAAACAAGTAGTGAGTGTTGAGGCAACTAGAGATATAGAATGGGTTACTTACACCTGTACTTTAGGATTCCATGTTTTTGGTAAGTTGTTTTTTTCTCCCTCTCACAAACTTATGATTCTTTGCTTTTCCAATTAGCTAACATTCAGACTGTCATCTTTATTTGAAACATTACTATTCAGATTTCAAAGTGCAAATATAAAACTTCTGTTGCACAATTTTTATCACCATCGTCCTCCTATTTTGATCCAGGAGACCTCTGATTTAATATTCTTGGTAGCTTTAGATACAATTATTAATTTGCAACACAAGTGAAAACCAATCACAAGCTACCTGCTATGACAAATGACAATTGTTTTTAGAAGCCATGTTTTACAATTAGAGAATTTTCATTTATGTATTTGTATTCCTACAGCACCAAAGACCCCATTCAGGATCAAGTTCCATTGAGTTAAATGCTGTATAAACAGTGTACAATCCAGTCCCATTGTACACGGTTCTTTACAAACAGTGACAGTCCCTGCCCCAAAGAGCTGATAGTGTAAATTGAGACATTCATAAGAAGTGAGTGAAATGAACAAAAAGAGAAAGGAAAAGGAGGACAAATTCAACAAAAATAAGGTGTTCCAGTTCCAGACGGTTTTGGTTTGTTTCATTGATTTGGGGGTTGTAATTTTTTTTTTTACATATAAACAAAATAAACCCCTATTATCAACCATCATTGGTGGTTGACTGCTTTCTTGTAGGCCTCAAAGAACAGGTTTGTTTTGAGGAGGGATTTGAAGGAGAAGAAGGTACTTGCCTCACAGATTAATTCAGGGAGGGCATTCTGCATGTAAGGGGCAGCGTGGAAGAAGTCATTTGAGACGGTTGTTGGAGAATTCGATAAATGAGGACAGTTATCATTGGAGCTGAGGAAGTGGTAGAATAACACAATAAGAGATAAGTGTGTACAAACAGTTGTGAAGGGTCTTAAAAGGTGAGGACAAGATACTGAACTTGGTATGATGAAACAGGAAACCAGTGCAAAGATTTAAAAAAAAAAGTGATGTGATCAGAGCAACAGGCAAGAAAGATTATCCTAGCAGCCAAGTTTTGAATGGAACAGAGTGGGTAACATGCTGGAGAGAGACCCAGAAAAGGGAAGAGATTGCAGCCAAGAGCCTGAACTAGAGTTTTAGAACAGTGACAGAAAGAAAATGTTGAATTTTGGAAACATCATGGAAGAAGTGGCTAGATTTGGATATGCATTTGACATGCAGGTCTAGAGAGAAGACCGAGTCAAAGATGACTGGCTGTGTATTATTCTGAGATGACAAAATTATTCGCTCTGCATGGACAGCCGCCACATATATTTCAGCTTCTTAGGGCTAGGGTTTGAGAGTCTCTGACACTATTAGGGTATGTCTAAACTACGAAATTACTCCGATTTTACAGAAGTCGATTTTTGGGAACAGATTGTATAAAGTCGAGTGCATGTGTCCACACAAAGCACATTAATTCGGCGGTGTGCATGGCAAGCGTCGACATTCCGAGCGGTGCACTGTGGGTAGCTATCCAAAATGGGTCCAAAAATTTGTCGCAGGTTATGGGTAAATGTCGTCAGTCAACCCTCCCTCTGTGAAAGCAATGGCAGACAATCATTTTGCGCCTTTTTCCCTGGATTGCCCAAGCAGACGCCATAGCACGGCAAGCATGGAGTCCGTTCAGCTCACCGCAGCAGTTATGACCATTGTAAACACGTTGCGCATTATCATGCACTTTATGCAGAACCAGAACCTGAAAAACCAGGCAAGGAAGCAATGGCAGCGCGGTGACAAGAGCGATGAGGACATGGACACAGATTTCTCTAAAACCGCAGTCCCCGGCAATTTGGAGATCCTGGTGTTAATGGGGCAGGCTTATGCCATGGAATGCCAATTCTGGGCCCGGGAAACAAGCACAGACTGGTGGGACCGCATAGTGTTGCAGGTTTTGGATGATTCCCAGTGGCTCCGAAACTTTCGCATGCGTAAGGGCACTTCCATGGAACTTTGTGACTTGCATTCCCCTGCCCTGAAGTGCAAGAATACCAAGATGAGAGCAGCCCTCACAGTTGAGAAGCAAGTGGTAATAGCCCTGTGGAAGTTTGCAACGCCAGACAGCTACCAGTCAGTTGGTAATCAATTTGGAGTGGGCAAAGCTACTGTGGGGGTTGCTGTGATGCAAGAAGCCAACACAATCATTGAGCTGTTGCTATCAAAGGTAGTGACTCTGGGAAATGTGCAGGTCATACTAGATGGCTTTGCTGCAATGAGATTCCTTAACTGTGGTGGGGCTATAGACGGAACGCATATCCCTATCTTGGGACCGGACCACCAGGGCAGCCAGTACATAAGCCACAAGGGGTACTTTTCAATGGTGCTGCAAGCACTGGTGGATCACAAGGGACATTTCACCAACATCAACTTGGGATGGCCAGGAAAGGTTCATGACACTCGTGTCTTCAGGAACTCTGGTCTGTTTAAAAGGCTGCAGGAAGGGATTTACTTCCCAGACCAGAAAATAACTGTTGGGAATGTTGAAATGCCTATAGTTATCCTTGGGGACCCAGCCTACCCCTTCATGCCCTAGCTCATGAAGCCGTACACAGGCACCCTGGACAGTAGTAAGGAGCTGTTCAACTATAGGCTGAGCAAGTGCAGAATGGTGGTAGAATGTGCATTTGGACGTTTAAAGGGTCGCTGGCACAGTTTACTGACTTGCTCAGACCTCAGCAAAACCAGTATTCCCATTGTTATTGCTGCTTGCTGTGTGCTCCACAATCTCTGTGAGAGTAAGGGGGAGACGTTTATGGCGGGGTGGGAGGTTGAGGCAAATTGCCCGGCTGCTGAATACACACAGCCAGACACCAGGGCGATTAGAAGATCACAGCAGGAAGTGCTGTGCATCAGAGAAGCTTTGAAAACCAGTTTCATGACTGGCCAGTGTACCGTGTGACACTTCTGTTTGTTTCTCCTTGATGAAAACACGCCCCCTTGGTTGACTCTAATTCCCTGTAAGCCACCCACCCTCCCTGCTTCGATCACAGCTTGCTTGCAAAGGAAATAAAGTCACTATCATTTAAAAACAATGTATTCTTTATTAATTGATTCTAAAAATAGGGAGATAAGGTATGCCGCATGGGGTGTGCGAGGTATGCCGCATGGGGTGTGCGAGGAAGGTAGGAGGGAAGGAAAAGGCCACTTCAAATCTTGTTGAATGACAGCCTTTTGTTGCTTGGGCTGTCCACTGGGGTGGAATGGTTGGGTGCCCCGGAGCCTCCCCCCACCACGTTTTTGGGCATCTGGGTGAGGAGGCTATTGGGAGGAGGGAGGGCAGTTAAACAGCGGCGATTTTAAGAGACCTTTATGTCGACCAAAATGGCTTCATTGTGTGGATGGGTGCAGGGTTAATTCAATTTAACGCTGCTAAATTCGACATAAACCCGTAGTGTAGACCAGGCCTTAGTGTTTTAGGTCCAGATTTTTAAAGCTATTTAGGTGTTGCTGCGCTCAGCATTGCAACAGCTAACTGATTTAGGAGCCTCAACTGTTGATGAAATGTAGGCTAAGTGCCTAAATCCTTTTTGAAAATGAGATTGAGGCTCCTATATCAGTTAGGTGTTACGATGCTGAGTGCAACAATGGCTAAATAGCTTTAAAAATCTGAGCCTTGGTGCTTAGCTTCAAAGGCTCGTATATTCCGAAATGATGCATATTTTAAAATGAGGATTCTCTAAGTAATAGTTGTATATATCAGCTTTGTAGAAATCATCTGCTGCCTTTTTCATGTATCTCAACAAATGATAACTGTGTTCCCCCCCACCCCCCCACTTAACTCCATTGGTTGCCAGTTCACTTCAGGATTTGATTCAAAACTGCCATCTATGGTTTTTATACTATAGTTCCTCCATTAACTCTATCCAGCCTGTCTTACAGACTCTCCTCCCCTTAGCTAGCTCTCTATCTTAATATAGTTTTGACTCTGTTGGTGCAAAAGCTTTCTCTCTGTCAGTACTAGCATCTAGAACAGCTTTTCTCTACTTCTTAACTTAATTTCTTTAACCTTGTTCATAATTTTATCCCAGAAGAAAGTACATTTGTTTTTCCTTTGCATATGTCTCTTTATTTATTTTTTACATCGTGATCATGCAAAGGGATATTCCTGCACAGAGTCTCATTGAAGTCAATTGAATTTGGGGAATCAGTATTTTCCTTTGTTATTATATTGTTTACATTAATCCTTTCAACTGTTTTGGGAGAGTTTGTATAAAAGATGCTATACAGAATAAAATGTATATCAGTGATTAAAAACATGAAACCACTTCCTTTCCGTATATCTGAAGTCATTGCAGATTTATAAGTGGGGGGGGGGGGGGAAGGAATTGCTCTTAAACACTGAATGTCATAATAATTTAATGCTCAACAAAACAAAAAAAACCACCCCTGACTACAACATTGGACTCTCTCAAATGATTAAGCAACCTCTATGCTGAGTATGGGAGTAGATCAAATCTAAAGTACAAAAAACATTAAAAAACTTAAGCAGCAAATAGCTATACACAATGCTGTATAAAAAGAAAATTTAATTTTCCATAACCTGTTTTATTATATTTTTACAGCACACAAAAGCATGCAAGTGTTTTACAGACCAAACACAAAAACCTTATCCTTCCCCTGAAGAACTTACAATCTAATTTTAGAGGTGACATAATATGTGAGACCAACAAGCAATAGGGGACTGGGATGAGGAAGAAGGGTTATCGTAACAAAAGCATGTGATAATTCAGTTATAACAAGCTCAAATCTTCTTGATCGTTCATTAGTCACTTTATTATTATTTTTAATGGTATAATTCTTGTAAACACCACAGGTGGGGTTTTAGGATGAATTTGAGTGAGGAGAACCTGGTGGCTGTACCTTTTTAAAAAGCCTCCTATCTGTGAACTATATAAGAAGTCATTCATTATCTGTAAATTGTGGAGAAGGGAAGGGGAAAAGCAGTAGTTTAAAATTGTACCTCCTGTTGTTGTCTCTTATGTACACATATATTATGATATAATACCTGAAGGCTCACAGCTGAGGCCCCAGTTCAGCAAAACACTGCTTACATCCTCCTTGTTCAGCACAGGACTAATGCATGTGCTTCATTGCCATTCAGATTTTGGGTCTTATGCACATGTTTAAAGTTAAGTATTTGGTCTTCTGAGTCAGAGCCTGAATCACTAGTAATTTTGAGGGATTTGGAGGTTGGTTGATTTTAAACAGGTGGCCTCTTCATTAATGTCATAACAAAAAATTTAACTAACATTTCTGTTCTGTATGTGTAGCAGAAATATTAAATTAGTCACTACATGTTTTCAGGTGTATGGCCAGAAGGTTCAGATGGAACAGACATCAATGCTGTCTGTCGATCACATGAGAGAAAACTGCTATCAACAGGGGATGATTTTGGCAAAGTACATCTCTTCTCTTATCCGTGTTCACAATTTAGGGTAAGATATTTACTTTAATAGAGTGCAATCTTGCAAACCTTTACAAACATGGGAAATTTTGTTCCTCTGCTGTCAAAAAACCCAACGTTAAATCAATGGGACTACTTATATGTGTAAGTGTGGATTGGCACTTTAATATAGAAGTCTGAATTTTAAAATAGTCTGACTTCATTGATAGAAATAAGGTGACAGTTTTATTTAATTGTAGTTTGAATGTTATACATAATTAAATATTTGTTACAGTAATGTATATTATTTATCTGCAGTAATAACATCCTGTATTGATATTTTCCAGGCTCCAAGCCATGTGTATGGTGGACATAGTAGTCATGTAACTAATGTAGATTTTCTGTGTGAAGACACCCATCTCATCTCCACAGGTGGAAAAGATACAAGTATTATGCAGTGGCGAGTCATTTAGAGGAAACATCGGTGTGAACACACACAGTCATGAGATGACCATGCACAGAAGTTCTGTACAAACTGTATATTTAAAACTTAAACAGTACATTTGCAGTTTAGCCTGGTCACTGTGATTCTGTTTAAAAATTCTTACAGACCTCAGGAAAATTAAGCCCTGTGCTGGTTATCTTACTCAGTTTAGTGATTCATTAGGTATCACTCCTAAAGAATGAGCTATATTTTTCTTTTGTTGTACAATATATGCAGCAGTACAAGTTTAATATAAAAAAATGTGGCTTGAAAGTTTTCAATACAGTGATATCAGCGGAACTGGTGACTATCTTAACTGTTTTCTACAAACTCTACTAAAATGGTCACAAAAATGCCTTTCAGAATACTGTATATACATGCTTAATTGTCTCACTGTCTACACTTTGTACTGTATATCTACCTATTTAGAAAAATCTATGGCAACATTGAGGTTTCTGATGGATGGTGATGAATTCATACTAAAGGAATAACCCAAGCTAGAAGACACAGAATAATTAACATGTTACATATGAAAATGTGAATGTTAGAATTCAGTAATTTGCATTTTCTTGCGAATAACAAATCTTTAAATTCCACCACTGAGGAACTACATTCTCTTTCAAATCAGCAGGTTATACTCCAGTTTAACTTGAATATCTCAAAAGGGTTTAAAGATGTTTATCTAGTTCAGGTATTCAGTGTAAGCTTAAATTAAAAAAATCTTTTTGACTTGTACATGAACAACTGCTTATCAAAAACAAAAAGCAAAACTTGACCACATCCCCACTATTGGTTAATATATTTAACTAATATGTATATTAATCAGCATGATGCTATATTGTACATGTATAAGATTTTAGCAGTTCATTATAAATGGTAAGGCAATCTAGGCTTTACTTTTTTATGCTTATGGATATTGTATATTTGTATTTTAAGACCAAGTAGACCAAGTCTAAAGATATCTTTTAAAATGTACCATAAACCTGCAGAGGGAAAAGGAAGCATTGGAAGCCTACATGAAATATTAATGTGTAACTTCTGACCCCTGTGTTTTGTGCATGGATGGATATTTATAGTATGACATAAGATTGTGTTTTGCAATGAAGTAATAGTGGAGGTGGTATAAAATGGTTAAGAAGGCCTTATCAATTTTGATTGTGAAACAGATTGAAATTTATTGTTTACCTTGAGGAATGTATCTAAAGAATTTAAAAGAGCAGAATAATAAGCAGACTCTGAAAAGTTAATATTAAAGCTTTGCTTGTAATGAACAGTAAACATTTTAATTCTCTGAACTCTAAAACACTGGTTGTTTGTTTAGAGTGGTTAAATGAAATGGAATCAATGAATTTTGAAACCTTTTTTATTACATTGCCACCTGCTATACTGAAAGTGCAGGACAATAATAAATCATGTATTAAAGTGCTTTGTTTTGATGTATCCTTCCTGTGCAATTTAACATAAATTCATTTCTATATTAAAGCTTTACTGTGATCTGCTTTCACTTAATGGGATACATTTTAAATTCCAAACCAGATGTGAAAAGATTGTTGGGGAATGAAATCTGAGTTTTTGTGTATGTAATTATTTGCATACCTATAGAGGATGCTTTTGAAGATTTGACCAATACTGTGTTCATATAGGGTGAAAGTCAAGAGGACCAGGATTTCAACCTACAAGTTTATTTCTTGATTCTAACTGCTTAATACAACAAAACATTTCAAAGTTCTGCTGTTTATTTCTGTACTTTCCTTATATTGTGGAAGAGAGATGTTTTTCATACAGTAAATTATGAATTTAAAGATATGAACTTAAAAGGAATATCATCCCACAGTGGGGAAGATGGTCTTTATATGCAAACTTTACAGATGATCCATATACATGCTTAAGTTGTGTACTCTAATTATTATCACTACTTTCCTCCAAATTGATGAAGAGGTATATTCAGCTTGTTTTCTGGGGCCACAAAATTTCCAAACTGTTTGTTTTAACCAAACCTAGCAACTAAACTCCATATGTCTGAAACTTCTCAGATGACAACATATTAAATCTCAAAATCATACCTGTTTTTACAATACTGTTTTCCAAAACTCTATGAATAAAGAAATGACAAAGTTAAGTTGGCAAATATCCACTGCTTTCAGGAATATGTCCTTTTTTTCCTGTTTGCTTCTGATTATAAAAACAAAAGAAAAAATAAGCCAGAACTTTAAAACATAGCCTATTTTTAAATGAATATTTTGCTTGGCTTCATTTTCCCCTCCTGTTGGTTTTTACATATTCTTATTTGTAAAGCTTCTTTTCTCCTTTCCAGCTGGTGCTAGCAAGTATCTGTCAGAATGAGAAACATCTCATCCTGTTTGGAGGACTTGACTTGTTTATACTGCTGCTAGGAAAAGACACGCTGCTGTAATGGGAGAAAAGAACTGACTCAAAAGTATAGTTTCCTTTGAAATGATTGATGGCAAGGAACATAAGGCATGAAAGATCAGGCTTAGGATAATTGGATTGCAGTTACCTAAATTCTCTGGATGAAATCTTGCTCAATTGCAGTTGATGGGAGTTTTTCCTTCAACTTCAATGTGACCAGGTTTTCATTCCTTAGAAGATATACAGATTTGTATGTTAATGTATTTTATGGTCTGTATTATATAGGAGGTCAGATGAGATGATCACGGTCATCCCTTCTAGCCTTATCATCTATGAAAAGTACAATACTGTTCAATTTAATAAGCTACTTTTTACTTAAACCATTGCTCAAATCTGTTTATTATGTATTTGTTTATGGTAGTGCCCGTTTTGTGTTAGGTGCTTTGCAGACATTCAAGAACTGTCCTGACCCCAAGAAGCTTACAGTTTAAGGACAGACAGACAAGTAGGTAGAGGTTGGGGAAAGGAAATAATAAAAGGATGGTATTTTTTTAATTCATACCAACAAGATTGACTAAAGGCAATATGTTGTACGCAGTGTTGTTATAGCCATGTCGGTTCAAAGATATTAGAGAGACAATGTGAGTGAAGTGATATCTTTTATTGGACCAACTTCTGTTGGTGAGAGAGACAAACTTTTGAGCTTAAACAGAGCTCTGTGTTTCTCTCACCAATAGAGGTTGGTCCAGTAAACTATTATGTCACCCACCTTGTCTCTCTAAACGCAACATGGCACATCGAGTTTTAACTGGGAGTTAAAACTTGAGAGGTTATCCTAGCAGATGTTCCCTAGAAAATCAGTCTCTAACATGAAGTTTCAGGGAGGATGTGTGTGTGTGTGTGTGTGTGTGTGTATGTATGTAAACACATTCCATAATTTCCCTGAGGTTACTGACACACTGCAATAGTCACAAAATGTCAAACAACTTCAGATGACACTTTCTTTTTTATATTTTCTTAACTCGAAAGGCCAAAGTCTCATCTGTTACAGTGTAATAGCTTTATTGAGACCAAGTCATTTTTTAAAAAAGTGGGGTGGGGAGGAAGGAGGAGAATGCTTTTTCCAGTTTCATTCAACCTGCATAAAAAAAATTGGTTCAAATTGTTAAAAAAATGGAAAACTTCAACCAATATGACAATGTTCACACAAAAATTCTTATAATTCTAAAAGCCATTTTTAATCAAATCATATTTGACCAATCCTAATTAATACAATTTCCTATGTGATCTCAGGAAAGCATGGCTGATATTCATCAGTTCTCCAAAACACATTAATGTAGAAAATATAGTGGCTTTTTCTTAATATCTGTTTGCACCATGTGATACCAATTCATTGGGAAAATAACCGACCTTTCTAAAATGTTAGATTCCATTTTATCTAGTACTGCTTTGAGATGTAAAATTTTTGCCTAGAACTGGAGCCCTTCAGAGAGGACTAGATCAAATCCTTGAACATACCACAGCTAGTGGGAAAAATCCCTTAACTGCCTCTGAAAAGGCCCAGTACTTCTAACAAATAGATATCGATATCCCTCTTTCATACCTTGGTGGAGCTGCATTTGTGGCTGGGTAGGATCATGTGAATGGCAGCTCTCCATGCTATCATCCCCCGTCAAACCTCTGGGGGCTTCCTCATATAAGATAATGGCATCCATACTGGCAGTTTCTTTCATGGGCTCCCCCTCTGGAAGGTCAGTCTGGCAGAGCTCGGGGGCATGCATGGATGGGAAAGCAACTCCCTCCCATGAGTTTAAGGAGAAAGGTAGCAGAATCCAGGCATAATTGTTCCAGTCCTCTGGAGTCTTAGCAAAATCTGAATAGTGCCCTCACCAATCTGAGGGTCTCCCCTGGTCTGGCAGGCTGTGTTACAGCTCTCCAGTCGAAATGGGCTGACATGGAGTTTCCTACAAGAATTGAAACATGAAGTGTCCTAGCCTGTAGACGACTCTCCTCCTATGGGACGCAACCTAGCTCAGGGTTCTGAATTCCATTCTCACCTTAACTGCTGAAATTTTATTTTCACAGACGTCCAACTACAGAACAGTAGTAACTTATTGAAAGAAGGAACTCATGCTACTCCTCATTAAACTAGAGGCCCCCTCAGACCTCTGTATTGATGTATCCCTCCATCCTCCTTTACTTGATCTCCGCTGGTCCCTTAGGGAGAGAGTTCTGGTTCAGAAACCAGATGAACCTGATTCACTTACACGTGTCTAACCCTCTCTGGCTAGGTTTGGGAGACACTTGCATTTGTGTAAATCAGGTGTAACAACAGGATCAGATCAATCCCTCAGTGACTAAACTCTATGTTAGCTCATTTCTTGCTAAGATTTTTCTATCCTTTCAGGTATAATTAAAGCTGTGTTAAAAGCTTTATAATCTATTTCACAAAACGCAGTTTGGCAAGTTGGAAACTGTGTTCTGCTCCATAAATATTTGTAGACACTAACAGTTCATAATAGGACACTTACCTTGGATAAAAGAAAAGGAGTACTTGTGGCACTTTAGAGACTAACCAATTTATTTGAGCATAAGCTTTCGTGAGCTACAGCGCTTATGCTCAGATAAATTGGTTAGTTTCTAAGGTGCCACAAGTACTCCTTTTCTTTTTGCGAATACAGACTAACATGGCTGTTACTCTGAAACTTACCTTGGATAAAAAGCCATTTCATATATCAGCACTGGAGATGGGAGTTCTTAAGCAAAGAATATGCTTACAGAACTAATTTGCATGCTAACTCCCAGAATGCTTTTGTAGCTCACAGCAATGCTGCCATGTGGGAATTGAGAGGTCTAATTGTGCTTGAATATGCACTGACATTCCAAATCTACAGTACACTGTGTCAGAGATTTTCAGTGCTCCCAATTCCCATTGAAGTACAAGGGAGCCAAATTTGGTTGGGGGAAGCATCCGCCTTGAAGATTGGGCCCTTGGTTCTTGGTGCCTTTGGTGTTTTTTTTTTATTATTTTTTTTTTATGAAAAACAGACTCTTCTTGGAAAAATGGTTTTTTTTTTAGAAAAAGCGCCTTTTTTTTTAGAAAAAGGGGGGGGAGGTCAAAAAAAAAAACTTCCTTTAATATAATTTTTTTTTTTTTTTTTTTTTGTGTTTTGTCGTGAGCAGGAGAGGGTTTGTTGTAAAACAAAGAAGAAGAGGGGGGGAGGGGGGGGGCGGGGGGGGCCCCGCCCCGGCCCCCCCCCCACAAGGAAGAAATAATTAGTACTAGACAAACACTTACAGTTATTTTTTTGTCTCACCTGTTCTAAAAACCTCCAAAGACAGACATTCCCCAACCTCCCTCAGCAATTTGTTCCTGTGCTTAACTACCCTGACAGGAAGCTTTTCGCAATGTCCAACCTAAACCTCCCTTGCCTCAATTTAAGCCCATTGCTTCTTGTCCTATCCTCAAGGTTAAGGAGAACAACTTTTCACCCTCCTCCTTGTAACCACCTTTTATATACTTGAAAACTTATCATGCCCCTTCAGTCTTGTCTTCTCCAGACTACACAAACTCATGTTTTTCAATCTTTCTTCATAGGTCATGTTTTTTAGACCTTTAATCATTTTTGTTGCTCTCCTCTGGACTTTCTCCAGTATGTCCACATTTTTCCTGAAATGTGGCATCCAGAACTGGACACACCACTCCAGTTGAGGCCTAATCAGCACAGAGTAGAGTGGAAGAATTACTTCTTGTGTCTTGCTTACAACACCCCTGCTAACACATCCCAGAATGATGCTTTTTTTGCAACAGTGTTACACTGTTGACTCATATTTAGCTTGTGATCCACAATGACCCCCAGATCCCTATCTGCAGTACTCCTTCCTAAGCAGACATTTCCCATTTTGTATGTGTGCAACTGATTGTTCCTTCCTAAATGGAGTACTTTGCATTTGTCCTTATTGAATTTCATACTATTTACTTCAGACCATTTCTCCACTTTGTCCAGATCATTTTGAATTTTAATCGTATCCTCCAAAGCACTTGCAACCCCTCCGAGGTTGTTATTGTCCACAAACTTTATAAGTGTACTCTCTATGCCATTATCTAAATCATTGAT